CTTTGCCATTGTGTTAGAGCATACAGAGTGCGCGCCACGCTACTGGGCGAAGCACCGCTGTTTCGGGTTCTTTTTGGCCATTAGACCCAACAGGCTAAAGGGCTTCGGTGGCTGGCCAGCCGAAACCTTCAACAAATTATAAATTGTATAAATCCTAAGAACTGTAAAAACTTCATGAACTCATACAGCTTATAAAGTTTATAGCTTTTGGTGTGCAAGGACAAGTTATGAACTTTACAAGCTTTATCAACATCCGACTGTTTTTCGGTAGCTAAGTGCCGTTAACCTTCAACAAATATAAAACTTAATAACCTTTATGCACCTTATGAGTTTGAAAAGTTTATAAAGTTTATAACTTTCATAAAGTTTGTAAGCGTTGTAAACTCATACAGTTTATGATGTTTGAATAGTTTATAGCTTGTTGAATGTTTCCGCTTGCCGTGTCAGCAACCGAAAACCCTTCAGATGTTCGCACAGTTTATAAAGATTATACCTTTTCCTCACGCACCAAAAGTTATAAGTTTTATAAAACCTTATCAACTCAGAAAGTTTATAAAGCTTATAAGTTTTTATCTTTTGATGGTTAACGGCAGTCAGCCACCGAAAAACCTTTGGACGGTTGTAGAGTTTCTAAAGTTCATATCTTTTCCTTGCACACCACAAGTTGCAAGTTTTATGATCTTTATACACTCGGAAAGTTTATAACGTTTATAAAGGTTGTAGCTTTTTGAAGGTTTCGGCTGGCCAGCCACCGAAGCCCTTTAGACGGCTAGAAAGTTCATAAAGTTTCAAACACTCTCGTGCACACCACGAGGTATGTTTTTGAAGATTGAAATTTTTCATAAACTTTATATAAGCTCATAAAGTTTACAAAGTTTACAGCTTTTTGAAGGTTTCCGCTGGCGATCAACCGAAAACCCTTTAGACGTTTATAATGCGTATAAAGTGTATAACTTTTCCTCGCACACCAAAGTCTATGAATTTTATACAGTTGATAAACTCATAAAGCGTTTAAACATTTCAGTTTTTCATATACAACAAAATGCTATAAACTATAAACTTCATCAACTGAAAAGTGCTTTCAGTAAACTGGAATGAGAGCAAATCAGTCACGACAAATAGTACGAGGAGGTCCTTCCTACACGGGGGTTTAGGGTTTAGTGTTTATGGCGTTGTGGTTTTAGGGTTTTGGGATAAGGGCTTTGGGGCTTTATGGTTTAAGGTTTGGTGCTCAAGGCTCCCAAATACTATACCTTGGGGTACACTAGAAAGCTCTCACGCCAAAGCCCCGTTCCAATGATCGAGGCTTCTATATTGCTGTCCTGGTCCTGGAACCCCCATTGCAGAGCCCTAAACCCTAAACCCTAAACCCTAAGCCCATCCGTCGCATCGCCAGGAGATGTACCGCTTTGACATGGTTTTGTGGCAAGCTTGCCTCCAGCTCTATCCTTTCAGTGGCGCGAGCCCCGGCATCCCCAGGAAGTTTAGGGGTTTAGGGTTTAGGGTTTACTGTAGGGTTTAGGGTTTAGGGGTTTAGGGTTTAGGGAGATGTCCGAGGTACGGTACAAGGCCTTCACGACTGGAAACCCACGAGCTCAGGGTATAAGGGTCTCTATGTTCTGAAACTCCCAAGTGCATGAAGTATCATGAAGTCCAGAAAGTAACTTGTTACGACTTTTTTATTTGCTAGTGTAGTGCGTCCAAAACACATGGGGCAGAATAGTGAATAGTGAGAAGCAACCACTCTGGTGCCACGTACTGGTACATTCTCGGCATCTTGCGCTGCTGCTTGGACGACTAGACCCACACTCCTCCTTCACTTCCCTTGTAGGATATCCCCACGATATGAGGGTTTAAGGTTTAGGGACCCTAAACTCAAAACAGTCCGGTACAAAATCCAGCGGCATGGGGACACGACCCCTTGGGAGCCATACATCCAGCAACTCTAAGCCCTTGGACCCTGAGCCTACCATAAACTACCAGAATCGGCTTTTTTGGTAGGTTCTTACCACAAGCCTTAATATAGAATCTGTAGAGTCTGTAGAGACCCTAGAAGAAAAGTTCGTTTTGGTAATTTAAGGTAAGCCCTAGAACGGAGGCTCCTAGGACAGCCCTTCGAGAGTAGGTTCAATCTTATTAGGGTCAGGGTTTAGAGTTTAGGGTTTAGGTTTCGGCCTATGCTGATGAAGGAGAAAATTGTCAGCTGATGCTTCAAAACTGCAGGGGCTTTGCGGAGAAAAGGTTCTTGAGGGTGCAGGGCGAGGGTGTACAGGACTCTGCTTTCGGCACTGATACACGAATCGCGGAGCCGTAAACTCCCACCAAACTGCGGCCCTCGTTGCTCCTGACAGATATGCCCCAAACCCCGAACCCCGAAGAGTGTGCAAGCTCAGCAGAGCCCCAAGGCACCCGAAGCAGAAGTGAGCCTGAAAGTAATTCATTGCCATCAGATTAATGCATGATTTCGTCAAGTGGGTAACTTTCGAACAGTCCCCGATGATGTCGACACACGCCTTCTTCTTTGCACGTCTGCTCACACTGAAATGCCGGGCATGGTCATGTGCCCCTACATTCCCTAGATCCTGACCCGAGGGCTGATCTCCGGATACCCTATTGACGGCTATAAACCCTAAACCCTATACCCTAAACCCTCGCTCAGGTCACGACAGTCTTGACAGTCTACGCGTTGATCGGGGATGACATGCGCCTGATTTTCACCACGAAATCAGAAGATGAAGTGTTCCTTTGATTCCACAGTGGACGGACACCTCTAAACATACACAACCTGTATGCCACATTGCGTGTATGTATGCATGGGTGTTTGCACACACATATATATATATATATTATTTGTATATTATATTATATTATTTTATATTATATTATATTATATCATACTATATTATATCATAACATATTATTTTATATTGTATCATAATATATAGAGCTATATAGAGAATATACACATACATGCGCACATATGTATGTATGTATGTATGTATGTATGTATGTATGTATGTATGTATGTATGTGTGTATGTACGTAAACTTGCATGTATGTATGTATGTATGTATGTATGTATGTATGTATGTATGTATGTATGTACGGTTTTATGTATGTATGTACGGTTTTATGTATGTATGTACATATGTATGTACCTGCGTCGATAGGTGTGTGTGTGTGTGTGTATGTGTGTGTTTATGTGTTTATAACGTTCTATGCATGTATGTATGTATGTATGTATGCATGCATGTATGTATGTATGTAGGTCGGTGGGTAGGTAGGTAGGTCGGTAGGTAGGTAAGTAGGTAGGTAGGCAGGTAGGTAGGTCGGTAGGTAGGTAGGTGAGGTAGGTAGACATGCATGTGCATGTGCGTGTAGATGTACATGTACATGTACATTTTAAAGGTACGTGTGTAAATGACCATGTATGTATGTACACATGTGTATATTAACGTTGTCGTACCTGTCTTTTCGGATTGCTAGGCGACTCTTGGGACCCTTTCTTGTATGCCCTGCTTAGACCTCTGTCGCTCCGGTTCGATTAGAGCCTATGTTTGCTTGTGTGTTTGTGGACCCTGAAGCGCTGTGTGAAGGCCCATTGGGTTGGCATACCTGTGGCCGGAACAAGCTTGATTGACATTGTGTGATATCGTCGTTAACCCTGGCTGGGGCAATCGGATGATGAACGTATTCAATCGAGTAGTTCAAGCTGACTCAGGTCTTCAAATGTTTCAAAATACTTTTGTTTGCGTTTACTGGTGCGAGAGCCGAACAGCATTGCTTCTTCTACTGTGACTGAACGACTATGTTGCAGTCTCATACATGCTACACTTATCCAAGTTCTTTCGTTCTAGCTCATTTCAATGATTCACATCCTTCAGCCGACTCCAGTCGAGAAAGTGGTAAACAATCAACTTCAGTCTGTTGGATATGCACATGATTGCAACAGATACGCATATTAGCATTGCGTGCACTTTGTTTACTGTACTCGAGTGCCAGTCATTGTCAATTGGTCGGCATCATATTTTCACAATCGTTCCAAGCAGCTTCAACCGATCTCATGTTTCTAACGCCCACACACACACTGGTTACCCCCTGTGCAAACTTTTTCTTCCGAGCAGCTGTCCAGCTACAATCGCAAGCCAGAAGAACAAACCTCACAAGAGAAAACCACCCAACTTTCTGTGTTGGCTTCACACAGTCATAAGCCTTGAACAAAGCACACGAATATCCGAATTTGTGTTGTAGCGGAGCCTAGGGTTCAATTTTGATAGCGTGTCCAGCGCTATGTTCGTCCGTGCATTACAGTCCGTGAGTAGTTTCGAACACAGGCCTATGGAGCAGGATTCACCCCACAAGTTGTCGTGTGTGTGTGTGTGTAAACATGTTCACATTTACGTACATACATACCTGCATACATATATACATACATACATACATACATGCGTACATACATACAAGTTTACATACATACACACATACATACATACATACATACATACATACATACATACATACATACATGCGTACATACATACAAGTTTACCTACATACACACATACATACATACATACATACACAAATGCGTACATACATACAAGTTTACATACATACACACATACATACATGCATACATACATACATACATACATACATACATACATACATACATACAAGTTTACATACATACACACATACATACACACACATACATACATACATACATACATACATACATACATACATACATACATACATACATTCACATATGTATATGTGTGTATCTACATTTACATGCAATTCTGCACACAGATGATGCTTTCGACAAGCTTCTTCAGGCCCCTTAAACAGGTAGTTTATATTTTGCCGGAGCCACTTGAAGGTCCGTGTGTTTTCCATTACGGTCCATGCACCCTCCATTTCGGAATTTCGACAGGTGCCCTCATGATTGAAGTTTCGTCGGGGTTGGGGATTTGCATACATGTGCAGCCACTGAGGTTCAACTACATCACCATCACGACTATGGTGGTGTTTGGGGTGGAGGTGATTATCAACACCCTGGGGAAGCAAGGGTACCTTTTCGGCTTCTTCTTCTTCCTCGACGTCCTCAGCACGGTTACACTGGTGCTGGATCTCACATATGCTCCTTAGCTTCGCTTTAGGTCTGCACTTGCATGTTTGGAGTTTTGGCCATCGTTCCGCCCTGTCCGATTTGCTTTAACATCATGTTTCTCGTGCTGTCTCCCTATCGGAGTCATGCAGCAGGCACGATGCTACAAGTGTACTGGAGAGGTAGAGAATGAACTTGAAACATAACTTGCCAAGGGCTCCTCCTCAACTCCTCGAGCAGTTCAGCGCCAGTGCGTGCGAAGGGCTCTTGAATTCTCAGTAGACAGGAGAGTTTCTGCGGACCCCGTAGCTACTTCAATGCTTATGCTGAGTTTCTTTGTTAACGATGTGTTGGCAGGGATGTTTAGTTTGGAGAAGGTACAAGTTGTTCGGGAATATATATATATATATGTACGTAGATAAAACCTAACTTTTAGTGTGCTGATACATATCTTGGTATGTTGTATGCACATAAACACACATGTACATTTAAGGCTTACTTGTATGTCATGCACACGTCTGTCTGTGCATGCATGTATGCATGTGTGTGCTCATGTGCGTTGTGTCGTTTGTCCACCTTAGTGAGTTGATGAGTCCTACATAACATAAGTTTCCTCAGCCTGTAAACTAAAATCGAAAAACCCAAGAGCCAGGAATCCCGAACCAAGAACCCCAATGATTCAACCGGGCAAGGTCTCAGATACGCTGTTTGGAGACTCCATCTCAGCAGCACAGCAGCTGTCTGACTTCGACGCCACCTCAGAGTTTTTTTTTTAGGGATGCGCCGTGCCAATAAAGCTTGACTTCTTGACCTATTTGGTTATTGTAAACGTAGCACTCGTCTGTTCGGATTTCGATGTTTTGTTGGATTTGTGGCCAAGATGTAGGATTGATTCAGATTGATTCAGAGCATAAATTTCGGAGATAGGTCCTGCGAGCTCCGTGCTTTGTAATGTCGCCATCGGAGCCTGGACAAGTAGGAACACTATTCCTGACTGGGGCTATTGGTGATGACTCCCAAATACAACCATAGTCTAATTCACCCCTAATTCACCGCCCCTCCCCTTGGAAAAATAGAGGCCGCAAGATTGTGCTTGTTTGCAAGGAGGTGGTCCTCAGGCTTAGCGCCTGTGCGACCGAAGTCTCAACTCCAGACCGTAGACTGCTTCAGAAGCCCAGCATTCAAAGAACAGCAAAGTCAACAGAGATCGATTGGACCTTGTTGCCGAAAATATGGAGGAACGGCTCCTGATCCAAAACTTACAGTAAAGTGTACCCCAAACCCTATCCCAATTATTGCATCCCCCAAATTAGGGCTGAACGGCCGAACGCACCGAAACACCCTTCTGGTCCCCGAACCTGAACCACCGCAAGCTGCAAACGCCAAGCTCTAGGGACATAATCTGACTTCGGAGAACCTGAAGCCTTTAAAACCATGCACAACCCTGCTTACTATAGGGGCCTTATTAACTAGATAGGGGTTGGGGGGTATAAAATACCATAGATAAAATAAGGAACCTCCCAAAACCCCATTACTAGCTCCTTGACAATGTTATTTTATCACGTCTTGTAAACACGGGTGCATGTTTGTACTTCCCAGTATGCCGTCTGTTACATGCCTCACAGGAACGGCAAGGGTTTAAAACGGACCCCCGATTTTGAACCAAAAAACCGCGAGAAGCCCAGATAGGCTGAGAAGAATGCAGGCCGCCAATTCCGATTCCTTACACCCAGAAACCATGGGTAGTTCTCTAAATTAGGGTCCCTTTTAGAGTCCGTTTTATAAGAGTCTCTAACGGGACCCAAAAGGGACCCTAAAATAGAGAACTACCCGCACCCCCAAACCTGAGCTGTGCAGGGCTCGGCTAGGCGGGTACGCTCAGAGTCAGCTACGCATGCGACCCGGAACCCCGACAGATCTCCGAGTGCCCCATCTCGCGCCCGAGGATGGCGCGGGTCCAGTAGTTCAAGGACCAGTGGATCAGGGCAGCAGCCTTCGCCTTAGAAGGGGCAGAGTGAGGCAGTGGGAGTTCGGATCCTAGAGCTGGAGGTGAAGGTCATGTTGAGGCTTCCTGCACTCAGAACCCCTAAACCCTCAATCCTTGAGGCTTCGTGGGGAGCCTTACAAGCCACCCCCAGAATAGGGTTCCTTCACAGGGTTCCGTAAAAAGGGCTGATAGTAAGTACAGGGGTGATGACGATGAGTTAGTAAAGGTTTATGGATGGGTTTCATAGGGTAGAAAGAGGTCTTATACAGGGCCTTAATATTCAGGCAAGTACTTTTGGGGGTATGTTTCAAGATATTCATACTAACCAGCCCCAAAGAAAAGTACGACTGCCGATTTCGGCTTCTATACTGCATGCAGTGAGCCCTCGTTTCTGTACACCGTCTTGAGAGCTATCCGTCTCAAACCTGAAGCCCCTCAAGACCCGGAGCCCGGGGTTTAGGGGTTTAGGGTTTAGGGTTTAGGGTTTAGGGCCCGGAACCCCAAGACCCGGAGCCACCCAACTCTAACCCGGCTAAACCTGAAAAGCCCGAAGCCCTACAGCGAACCTCAGAAAGGAACATGATTCGTGCTGGGATCCCTTTTATTTTACTTCAAGGGCCATGAGGAGAATCATGTTCCAACTGCTGGCTTCGAGTATAAACACACGGGCACCCCAGAACAGATGTAGCCGTTCATGACGCCAGGGGACAAGGGAACCGAACCCTGTACCCTACTAAGGAAGCTAGACGAGCAAGTCAAGAGTCAGTGCCCTAAGCCCATCTAATCCCTAAGCTCCCAACCCAAACCCTGAACCCTACAGTTACAAACCCTAAGCTCCAAACCCGAAGCCCTAAACCCGACACCCAAAACTCTAAGCCGTAAACAGCCATCAGGTAGTACAATTCACAGCCGGTATGTCCGAATCTGTCCGAAAGTGACAACGCATTTTCAGAACCCGCCAATGTTGACCGTTGCAAATCGCCATCTTTAGCATTTGGAAGGTGTAACGGTGTAATATAGGGGCCTAAATAACTTCCTATGGTATTTTGGGGGTTCCTCATCATAATTATAGTATAAGGGTCCCCCAAAACCCTATTCTAATTGATAAGGCCGATCTGAGGGCGCATGCCTTGGAAGCCGAAGCCCGAAGCAATAAACCTGCAATGACCTCCGTCCTAAATCCCGAAGCGCAAAAGTCCGAAAATCCTAAACCCGATTTTTTAAATTAATTTGACCCTAGAAGCTCTAAATAAACCCCCAGACCAATAGATCAACCCTATAAACCCAATCCGAGCTTTACAAGCCTTACAAGCCCCCAAAACTCCCAAATCCCAGACCCTCCCTAAACCCTAAACCCTTAACCCTAAACCCAGACCCCTAAACCCCTAAACCATCCCTAACGCAAGCCCCAAGAGCGCGAAGCTCGACAGGTCAGTCGGCCGATGCAGCCCGGGCTGCCCGCATGAGTCGGGTGGGCACCAAGGCACACTGGGGATCTTTTCTTGTAAGGGTTTAGGGTTTAGGGTTTAAGGGTTTAGGGTTTAGGGTTAAGGGTTAAGGGTTTGGGTTTAGGGTTGAGGGTTTAGCCTTGAACGGTTTAGCAGCGCGATTGTAACAGCAATGGGATCCTTTCTTGTAAGGGCCCGTGCGTATTTGTCATTACCGGACCTACGGTGTCGGGCCTTGGGTTTTGGATTTCAGAGAGGGCCGTAATTAACAAGAACACGGCTTTGAGGTGGAACGGCATTGAAAAGTATATCTATGAAGGCAGTGCCAGGGGATAGCATTACTAATCATTCCGACCGCAATCAGAGGTGTAAGGGCCCCCTCACAGCATACGGTTTGGGACGTGTGGGTTTAGGCAAATTTCGCGCTTCTGCCATGGAACACTTTCGGGGATGATAGGTTAATATAGGGGTCTTAATAATTACCTATATTATTTTTCGGGCTCCTTATTATAGTATAAGATACCCCAAAACCCTATTCTCATTATTAAGACCCCTACATTAGTAGTTTTATTATTGGGATGCAGGATTTCCGACTTCGGCGTATGATTGTGGGACATACTGTTAACGAAGCCGAATCCTCGAATAGCCCGACAACCCAAAATCAATATTCTCGAAAGCCCAAAACCGAAAACCTTAAACATTCCCAGACACATTTTCGCGCACCCTGCAGGAAAGCCCAGAACCTCGAATCCCGAAGCCCTAGCGTTAGGCCCTAGAGCCTGTGATCCCCAAAGCCCCTAGACTCCCTCCTACGTTTTAGGGTATTAGCGTTTAGGGTTGGGGTTTAGAGGGTTTAGGGTTTAGGGTTTCAGGTTGGAAGTGGTGTTTTTTTTTTGCTGTGGCCCCGCCGGGTCTTTTCGACCCAATGCCGGGACTTGCCGCAACGGTCGCCCCAGCCCACGGCGAGTGAGTGAGCGGGGCTGCAGCAAAAAAAACACCACCCCGGCGGCCTCCCACCGGGGCATCGCCGCCCAGGCCCGCAGTGAGTGAGTGAGCGCCCTTTTCGCTCGGGCCCCGTGTCATTGGTTTCTAGAATTTGTTGCTGTCGTTCCCGGGTGTGCAAAGTGTTTTGTTTTTTGTTGTGCCCCGTTGGGCGCCGAGACCTGTCGGCGGGCCATAGCAACAACAAAAACACCACCCAGTGTGTTTTTTTGCTCCGAAACCGCCGATAGGCAGGGGAAGGAGAAGCGCCGATGGCCGCCGGCGTGGGGCCAGAGCCAACGGCGCTATCGGCGGGGCCGCAGCAAAAAAAACACCGTTTTTTTGCTCTGGCCCCGTGCCGGCGCGCTTCTCCTTCCCCCTGCCGACAGGTGCAACCAAAAAAAAAACACTTAGCACGCCCGGGAACGACAGCAACAACTTCTAGAAACCAATGACACGGGCCCCGAGCAAAAAGGGGCCACAACAAAAAAAACACCCTGACCGTTTCAGGTTTAGGGTTGAGGGTTCAGGGTCTGAGGGTTCGGCACCCCCAAGCCGACGCGCCAGGCTGGCCGCGTCGTGCGCCTGCTTCGGCTGGTCCGCCTCATTCGCTTAATCAAGCTCCTCGGTTCTCAGGGTTTGGGGTTTAGGGTTTAGTAGTGCTTTGGGTTTAGGGTGTAGTGTAGGGTTTTCGGAGTTTTTCGGTTAAGGGTTTAGTAGTGTTTTTGGGTTTGGGGTTTTTAGGGTTTTTTCGGTTTAGAGTTTAGTAGGGTTTTGGTCTGAGGGGTATAGTTTTGGCGAGTCAGAAGAGGAGGCCGAGGAGGAGACGTAGAATGCGGAAGAGCTAAACAAGAGGACTATATGTGTGAAGTCGGCGGGGCATCGAAGTAAGTAGCGAGCTCTTAGTAGGTAGTATTCGGCAGCATTTAGCCAGAAAGTTGCAATTTGCAGGTACCTCGTCCTAGTAGTGACGAGTATGGAGTAAGACAGTAGCAGTAGGTGGTAGGAAGTAATTATGCATGTAGCGAGCAGTCGGTCAGAAGTAGTAGCTAGTACCACTCATTCATACAATGAAGGAGTACTATCCGGAGCAGCTAGTAAGTACTACGCGCGGGTAGTACGTAGAACTTAGTGAGCTTTTGTCGGCAGTATTCCTGCCTATCGTGATGAAAATCGTGTTTGCCGTTAGTCTTAGCATGCTTCTCATCATGCACCGTCATACTCATGGCACAGCAGGTCAAAACTGATTACATACATCTGTCTAGGTCTATATCTAAGCCTGCGTTTATGTCGAACGATATCCATTTCAATCTGCAGTTACACACTCCTGAGAACCCTTCCTTGCTCTCCCGCAGATATCATTCCAAGAGTAGAACGCTTGACCCGGACCCTGTTTAGGAAGAGTCAGTGGGCGCCAGCCTCACGCATGGTGACCGTGATGTGTTTCGTGCCGGGGGTTGTGCGTGTGTGTCTGTGTGTATCTTATCACGTCTGGCACGTTCCGCGACTATGCTGACCTTTTTATACGTCCTGTTTTGCCTATAAGCATTTGGAACATTCGTTCCCAGACTGGAAGGACAGAGGGAATCGCCAATGTCGAAGCGTTCAGCATTGTGGTCGGTTTAGTTGTTTCTGCAAAACCTCGTTTTGCGGCTTCCGTCGACCCTTGCATTCGCTGCAGTTTGCTAAGGTTCTATCAGAACCGAAGCAAATCGAGCGCCAAGTATGCCCAGGACAGTGAGGCACACTTCGTCATTCGTGCTTCGCAGGTAGGAAGCTTTCCTTCTTGATTGTTGTGACCCGTAAACCCTTTCAGGATTCAGGTAGTAGCTACTACCCTGGGTTGAGTCGAGCTCGCGGCTGTTAGCGCGTTTTGATACAAGTTCGCCCACACTGTTTCCGGCTTTCTGTATTCGATGAAGCGGTGCAGAGCCGTCACTCTGCACACCCACATCGCCAGGCATCTCCTGGAATGGATTGGGAGGACTTCCTGGTTTGCTGGCTTTGTGGCTTTAAGGTTCATATTATAAGCCCCTATCTTCGAAGACCAACCTCTGGAAATTTATCACACCAATTCGAATGGGATGCCCTGGGAGTTGCTGCACATTCGCGGTCCCCCTTTGGGGTCCCACACCCCTTCTTTCCTAAAGCATCGCACCAAGCAAGAGTGGTTGAGAGGTGTGCTTTATTGCTTTCCTCTTGCATGCAGCTCCATTTCGAAGGAGGACGATGATGACATGCAGCAAGAGTCGGCAGTGTCGAAGAAGCTGTCAGAGATGACCACGCGCAGAGTCGCTCGGTTTCGGGTTTAGGGCCTCTACACCCTACCTACAGTCTCCATTGTAGTTCCTTTTTTTGGTTTAACCATATATATATATATATATATATATTAAGGAGTTTATAAGGTATCCCCAAAAAGGAACTACAATGGAGACTATAGGTAAACCCTGAGTCCTAAATTTAGCTCTTCAGGGGGCCCGGGATCTGCCACAGCGTACACTTCAAAGTCTGCAAGGAAGGTCGGGGTACATGACCCTCCCAGAACCTAAAGGGTTCAGGGTTTAGGCTTTTTTTCGGTTTCAAAAATTTAGGGTTTGGAGTTTAGGGCCCCGGAAAGGCCATCACTCAGAAAAGATCGTAGTTTGCGGTATACTGCCGATGTGCACTTGAAAGACTCAGAAAGTTGAATTGTACCGGCTGCTCAATCGGCCATTCCCCGTACCAGAAGGTCACACGATCGATTTTTTCGATCCTACAGCCTAGAAACGATAAACACTGAAACTAGTTCTTCCCTAAGCCCCCAAAGTAGGTAACATTATGGCCCAAAACCTACAAATGGCTACTATTCTACATACTTTTGGGGTCAAGGTCATGATCACGGAGAGCCTTGGCTCAGGTGGTCATGCTTGTGCTGATCATCATGCTCTCGCTTCCATTCTTCCAGCCAGGGATGTACAACGAAGATCTGCCCTCTTCCGCACAATACGGTGCCAACGTACTCTTCCGAAGATGGCGTGACTTGGTTCAATCTTCGGGATCTTCCTTGCTTTGGGTAGTTGGGGCTTTCTAGCATTTGGAAACAGGGAGCCAATCAAAAGGAATCTGTCTTCTTTCTTCCTGAACCATGTGCCAAGGTGATGACATGACCTCATATGAGCCTTGGGCCAACGACACTGCTCGTGCGGCTTATTTCGCTTCGAAGGGCCGCGAGGTTCGGCGGTCTTCGTGAAACGATGTTTAGGGTTTAGGGCTTAGGAGATCTTAGGATCCCAGTATTCGGGGTTTAAATAGGGTCTGCACTCCCATGCGGGGAGTATTGAACATCGCGCCGGGTACCTCTTTCTTTGGGTCTTGCTACATCCCCAAACCCCTTAAATCCTATACCTGCATGAGCAGCTCCGCATCTAAACGATTGAATCTAAACCTCTAAATCCAGCACCCTGGCTGGATCTAATCTCATAGTCCGGAGCCAGGTCTACGTCGACGACTTCTTCCTGTTCGCCTACTACCACAGCCCTTACACCACCCAGGACGGGCTCCAATTAGAGTTAGTTAAGGTTCCAAAGCTTCAAACAAACCCCTAACCCATACCACCGTAACCCGAAAAGTTCAACAAGAAGCAGCGCCCAAAACTCCAAAACCCTATAACCCTATAACCCTAAACCCTATAAACCCTATAACCCTGTAACCCTAAACCCTAAACGGCCGCCAAAAAAGGAAGCGGTGCCGGCGGAGGCCGTGAGTTCGCCTTTGGCGAGCTTCAACCGCCTTTTTTGGGTGGGTGCACACCCGCCAGGGCCCGAGCTATGGTAGTAGGGTATAGGGTTTAGGGAGCTACTATGGGGGCCTAAATAATTACAAATTTTCTTGGGTGGGGGGGGGGGTTCCTTATTATGAATATACCCCAAAACCCTATTCTAATTATTGAGGTTCCTATATAATTATTATGTTAGTAGGGTTTAGGGCTTAGGGTAGCTTAAACCGACCTAAACCAATAATATAAACCGTTTGCCAGAGGAATCTACCATATCCCGCGACATAGACGGCCATGAACGTTGCGGTTTGGACTTCTTGGGTTTTCATTCGAGCTCGGAGTTTTGGGAGTTTCAGGGGAGACTTGAGACGTCAAGGCCTAAGCTCCTCCCTGTAAACCCTACGGCCTAAACTCTAAACGCTGCCTATGGTCTCCATTGTAGTTCCTTTTTGGGGTTACCTTTTAGGATCCTAAACCCTAAACCCTAAACCCTAAAACCCTAAACCCTAAACCCTAAACCCTAAACCCTAAACTAGACAGGCCTTTGGGACATTGATGTTTTCCCGTATTGGGCTCACGAAAATCTCAGTTACGAACATTGTTCAGAGGCTTTGAGGGGCCAACCAAGTAAACCCTGAACCCCAGGCTTCCCTAAACCCTGTAGCTTAAAGCCCTAAACTCTAAACCCTAAGCTCTAAATCCTAAACCCCAAAATTCCGGGATCCTCTAAGCGATGTAGGTTAAAGTTCTAAACCCTATACCCTGAACCCCAGATCCCCCGAACCCTGTAGCTTAAAGCCTTAAACTCTAAACCCTAAACCCGAAACCGTAGCCCGAAACCCCAAACCCAAACTTGCCAGGGACAACGAGACGCTGGGTCAGTTCTTCTTGCCATCCTTTGAAGGACGAGGCCGTCCCCCATGGGGCTGGGCTCCTTTTTGAAGGTTCCTACTGTAGATAGTATAAATCCTGCATTACCTTAAGGACCCTATGGGAATTATGGTATATGCCTTATTATGGGTAATGCAGGATAAAAATCATCAACCGTAGTTCTTTAAATTAGGGTTTAGGGTTTCCATGGGGTTGGGGTAGTTCTCTAAATTCGGGTCCCTTTTAGGGTCCCTTTTCGAAAGGGGGCCGTACCATTCTGGAGAGCCAAAAAGGAAGCCGAAATGTAGAGAACTATCCATCTAGTGGGCCTAAATAACTAGAAGAAGAAGGCATTTTCATTGGTTATACAGTGGACAATATACGACTACTAGTTCCTCAGACCTTATACTAGCTAACAGTTGATAGCAGGGTGTTCTCGGGTTTTCTCTATAGGGCATACAGGGCTTCCTCGGGTTTTATTGTCTTAATGTGTGCAACCCGAACCATGAATGTTGCAGTTTCGTCTGATCGAGGTATACATGCACGGTCCAATATCTGCCCCAAGCCTTATTCTAGCCCTTGAGCCCTAAACTCCTAAACACTAAGGCCCCAAGCCCAAACCCTAAAGCCTACAGTAGTCCTTAGGTTCGTTTACCCATCACCCCTGTAGATCCAGCACTCGGGGAGTGCGATCCGGATCAGGGCTTCAGGTTCAGGGATTGAGCAGGGCCTTCAGGCACGCGGGTCCAAGATTTACGGAGTTCCGGCACAATTGCAGGCACTGCTGCTGGCCAGGCGCAGGCCTACGATCCGATCCGCGGCCGCAGAGCTTTCTTGGGTTTGTGGTTAAGTTTTTAGCGCACCGGGTCTTGGAATTTTAAGGCGGTTCGGGTTTAGGGTTTAGGGCCCCTGCAATCCTAAGAGGGTTCAGGGTTTCGGGTTCATGGTTCTGGGTTGCTGGGATCAACACCCTGATTGAGGCCATGGACTCTCCCTGCAAGAACGATTTCCTTGTGATAGTCACTCACATGAGGTTGTGGTAATTTATAAGACAGAGACGAACCCGAAAGCCCAGAGTTCAGGGCCCAGGTTCTGGTTTCGGGTTTACGATTACCATAGGGGCCTTAATAATTATTACAATAGGGTTTTGGGGGGGCTCCTTATTATAACTATAGTCTTAACATACCCCAAAACCCTATTCCTATTATTAAGGCCCTACATTACCTACCAGACCCTGAACCCCGAATCAAACCGTGAACACAAAAGCATGGCCAAGGAATGAGCGCTGGGGTGGCGCTGACTGGCTTTATTACCAAGGCCCGCCGTTTCTTGAAGGGCTTAGGATTCAGGGTGTCTCTCACCTCAAAGGAGGAATTCCGGAGTTTAGCGTTTAGGGTTTTAGAATCTCATGGAGAGCTTTGGTGTAAGCAGTGCTCTGAACTAAGCGATGACAGCATTCTAAAGTTCACTGCAGACTATTTAATCTAGGGCCTAAATAATTACCTATACTATTTTGGGGATTCCTTATTAGAATTATATAGCATAATATGCCCCAAAACCCCATGAAAATTAGTAAGGCCCCTATGTTTCGATCCAGCCTCCAAGAAGCCCCTCAGCCAACAATCCATATACGGTTTTAGAGTTTAGGGTTTTGGGTTTGATAGTCGCAATAGTATCCACCAGTCGTCATGCTAGTAATCCGTCCAATTGCATAGGGATATGTTTAATGTTGGTCTGTGACGTCCGCCGAACACTGGCTTTGCTTGGAAGGATTCCGAATCACGGAGAGTGGTTTCCGAACTCAAGGCTTTATCTTCTGCAGGATTGAAAGAGAAGGATACATCCCTACACGGTCAGCCGAAGAAGGCATTTCTCATAGCTCCGCAGAGTCCTCGATCAAAGAAAACCCCCACCATCCTCAGCCCGAAAACCTTGAACCCAATCCCTCAGCCCTAAGACCCTAAATCCTAAACCCTAAACCTCGAAGCCCTAAAAGGTAGCGCAGGCACCCTGATGTGTACATAATGCTAGCAGTAGTCAGAATACGCCAAAATAAGCCATCACCACTACAACTGTAGAGAACTATGCGTGTGCACATATACGTGTGTTTATGCGTGTATGCATGTATGCATGTATGCATGTATGTATGCATGCATGCATGCATGCATGTATGTATGCTTGCATTCATGGATGCATGTATGCATGGATTGCTTTTTGTACATATGCATGTATGCCATGCAATGTAGGGCAATGCAATGAAATTCATGCAACTCACGGGAGATTGGAAATAAAGCAGGCCGTAGACTACAAGAACATGCATCGAAACCAGAAGCAAACAGCATTGTGCTGACGTACGCCTGTAGACACTCCAAGCCCTAGGCAAATAAATGCCTGCTCATCCGAAATCCTTAAACCCAGCCACTAACACAAAATCTGGAACTCAAACTCCCGCAGCCATAGCAATGAAGTCGCGGGGTCGGCCAAAGAGGTCGAACCATTAGTAACGCTGTCCCCTCCGGCCACCCCTCCTTTTATACTGTTTATACTTCCGCTATAATATACCCCCAAACCCTTGTCTAACTATTCAGACTCCTTTTTTCATTCAACCTAGACAAGCCTTTTCAAACCCGTTAAACGCTTATAATGTCCCCTTTTATCGCATTAAAAGAAGAACACCGAAGGCAATCTGAGCTCCGATCCCGTTGGGCTGCTTTACTCGCCCTGGGCCAGCGCCCAGCGATCACCTCGGATGGGGGAGGTTTACTTTTGGGTTTGTGTAGTGTTCAGTGTAGAGCTTAGGGTTTTCGTTTCACCTTAAAGTTCGGGTCTAGAATTTACGCCGTCGGTTTAGCTTCGATTCCCTTTGAACTATATAGTTGTCTTACTCGTTGGAACAGTACGAGAAGGCACAGGCTGCAGCTTTGCGGAACGATTTCTGCTTCGTGGCAGAGGTCGCACAAAGTCGGTGTGCATTGCAGGCTTTCCGTGCTTGCTTAACACATGTCGATAATTCGAAACACTATTCCGTCTTGGGCTCCATATAATTATAGTCAGCATAGTGAACTTCACAACCCTATTAAAAGCATGTAGGGCCTCTATATATCAGAATGAATGCTTGTGTTTTATCTCGACGCTCTGGTCGCCCCGCACCGGATGCAAACATCTAGCCAGCATCCTAAGTCCGGAGCCACACCCAACACAATATAGATTTTGCAGTAGTGTTTAGGGCTTTAAGGTTTTGGATTTAGGGTTTGGGGGCTTTAGGGTTAACGGTGTATGTTTTTGTTCTTGCCTGCACGGTCTCAGGAGTTGCATCAAGGGCTACATGCGCGGAGTCTCGTTGGTGGCGGACATGGCCATGCGCTTAGCAAAGGTCCTATCAGAACTCAGCTTCGAAACCGTCTTTTGAATAATGTGATTAATGACAACCTGAGGTCAATTAGGGCACTAACGATTCGGTTTTGAACATTGGGTGGTGATATGATTGCGCTGAACGATAAGATCTTCGTACATAGCATTGTCGCGTGTGAGCAAGAGGTTCCTGTGTAAACAATTCTTAGAACTGCCACTACCACTACGACTACGACTANNACTACGACTACCACTACCACAACCACTGGCACTACCACGACGACTACCGCTAACGCTCCGACGACAACGACTATAACTAGTATGAATGCGACAACCACCAGTCGTGGTAGTGGTAGTATTCGTAGAAGTAGAAGTAGAAGTAGAA